AGCGGCTGCACATTTCCTTCCCCTTGGCTTGTCCACAGATTTCAGTATTACCGTAAATACTAACCCATCAGATAGGGAAACTGAGGCAACAAAGGACGTATGCCAGATCACACACCTGACAGTGTTGGCTAAGGTGAAAATACACTTCAGGCTGATACTCAACTCATTTTTTTCTTATACCAGACTGTCCTGACAAGTGTTTTCCTTGGATCATGAGGTATGATGAAATACCTTCTTATTTTCTGTAGTTAAGAGGACCTTAATCAAAGTAATTACTGAAACTGATCTGATTGGGAAGTAATCTATTTAGAAAAAGTTAAGACTGCCAACTGGGAAGCTACTATCCAACCTCTGAAACTGATTGCTTTAGATGTGGATGATTTCACACTTAATTTTTCAAGTGCTATTGAAAATGTCTTCACCTGTGAATGTAAAATATTTATTTTTCTAAAATACTAAATAATGGCCATCTAGGCAACTCAACATGTAAACAACATGTTATACTGGCTTTCAAGTATCTTGGTGTATGTGAGCTTCTCCTCCAAGCAATCAGAAGAGAGACACCGCACTGCAACTAACACTGCACTTCAGCAAATTAATCTATGTTTAAAGTACTCTATAGGGCCTGACACTGTCAAAATCCCTGCCTGAGATAGCTACTCTTTTTAAACAAGCTTGTAAAGAGCTTACTGTTCCCTTACAGGATCAGAGCAGCATGATTCAATTTAAAGAGTCTGCCCCCTAAAAATTGTAATCCATTATGAATTTGATTAATCAGCTATGCACTTCTGGTGCATATTTGTATTTTTTGAAGGCATAACTGGGATGTATAAACATCAAATGAATTTTTCATATACAATAGATGAAAAAACAATCTTCCACTTAAAATTTACAGGAGATTGGTGCCACTAGTTTAGTGGTAATGTAAGCTGCCAGCAAATGAAAGAATTTCATTCAGACTTAGTCCTTTACTTTCTGGGCTAATAAAAGTAAGAACCATCATATCTGATCTACTCACAGTAATGAATCAGAAAGGCACTTGTCTGAGAGGAATGCTCCTGAGAAAGTATGGAATAAGGATGCAGTCACAGCGGGAGTGGAGGGACACACACACACACCAGCCTTTAAATCTGGGATAATCCTAATAGTCCTATGCTGACATTATCAAAGTCCAAAAACTATCATACATAGGAACTGGCTCCCCTAGGGAGACCAGGCTGAAAACACATGGATAGGGAAGAACTTGTATAGGGTTCGAACAGGGAAAAGCTGCAAACCCATAAACTGGAAAAGGCAATTTTAGAGTTATACAATTACACTGGCTTCAGCTGTGATCTTGAAATTATCACGATGATGTTCTAGAACTTCCAGTTATTCCTTCAAATGGACAAGAAGTATCAAACTTCTGTCAGAGTACAAGTATGTCTAGAAATGCACATTAATTTTAACTTTCTGCCAAATTCCAGTCCTACTTGATACATCCTGCTCTTACAAACTCACAGAATGGTTGAGGTTGGAAGGGAACTCTGGAGGTCATCTTGTCTAACCCCCTGCTCAAGCTTTTCTTGCAAGCTCTTGCCAAAATAGTTCAGTTTGACTTTCAGTATTGGTTCTTACAAAAATGTGCAAGTACTCCAAGTTACTACTCCACTTACACCTATGAAAAAGTTTCTTCCATGGAAATGAAATATCTGCATAGAAAACTGTCAGAAGAGAAAATGGGATTCTTAAAGTCTTCTGCAAACACTATTTTTGTTGGTGTCAACCTCAGCAGCATTACAAGTGATCAAAGAAAATAAAAGCCAATACAGTATGGAAAAACTTTGTAAGATGAAGACTAAGTTTCCTTTTGAATTCAGTAGCTTTTTTTTTTTTAACAGCTTAATGCTATTCAGCCTGCTATAATGTCACATCAGTGTGCTGGGGAATCAACACAGTGGAAGGAAGTTATCAACACTTGCGGTGGAAGTCTGAAGATGGAAAATTACCTTTAAATTATGAAAATGCATGTACAGCTCCAGCATATGTGGAATGTTTACATCCTTAGAAAAATGATCTAACTGTGCTATTAAATCTCTGGGACAGACTGACAAGAGAATTTTTTCTTTAATGAAAGAACTTTCTCAGATGAAACAGGAATGTCAGCTTTAGTGTATACTCCACTGACTGGAACAGGATCAAGTCTTAACTAAGTTCTACGCAATGTTTTCAGAGGAAAAGTGGAGAATGTTTTATGGAATTTAAGTCTGGATTTGGCTTGCATCCTAGAACATACATCTTGTTATGAAAACTGCTGAAACACTTTTAAGTGGGCAAATCACAAGTGTCCTTGGAGCTATCCAGTCAACTGGAAGTCACACAGGCAAAACCTCCTAAAGTAGAAAAGCTTGAAATTGGAAGGGGAGGGGGTGAGGGAGGGGCAAATAATCTTGGAATCATATCTGTTACATAGAACTGTTCGCTTGTGCCTACAGCATGAAGTAGTTACAACTTGTTTTCTGCTATTGTCACAGATCCAATATGTTACTCTAGCTAAATCATAATCTCTTCCTGCCTCAGTTCATCCATGTGTAAACCTGGTTCACTAACTCGTACCTTAATGTGTCATGGGGCTTAATTAATAACACTTAGGTCTTTTAAGCCCTCTACAAACATTAACTACTTCTTGTAACAACTCTCTGAGGTATTATTATCCCCATTTTACTGATGGAGAAATGGCAAAAGAGGTTGTGACTTGCCCAAGGCAACAAATTAATAGTTATACTTACAGATCCTCTTCATGGACTACTGTATTGTAACAGTGGAAACTTATCAAGAAAGGCAAAGTCAATAACTACAGTCTCAAAATTACTTTTAAAAAAAGTGCACCATAAGCAACTGGAAGACTATGAAAAACCCCTACTAGAAACAATAGACTTGGGATCAGAACAAGTGCTACAGTCGTCATCGCAGAGAAAGAAATATCCCAGGCAGATCTAGGCTAGAGCTCACCAAAACAGTCACAAAGAAACAGTAAGACTTGCCCTCTCATGTGCTCCTAAGTACCATAAAATTGAGCAACAGGCTTGTACAGTACTCCTCAGTAACACAGAAGTGAGCAGATAATCAATGTGGCATGCAGCATGCTAATATCTCATGCTGCGTTCCCAGTATTGACGGGGAATGCCAATAATGGGTTTAGATGACGGTGGTCCTGCGCGCTACCGGCCGGTACATCGCGGCCGCCTCCCCCCCCCCAGCTCCCCCGCCCTCACAAGTGACAGCAGACAAAGTTGGTGTTATTCCCCTCTACCCAGCCGCGCTGACATCCTTCGCAGCAGCCTTTCGCCGCCCGGGATCCCTGCCCGGGCAGCCTGCGG